TGTGTGTGTGTGTGTGTGTGTGTGTGTGTGTGTGTGTGTGTGTGTGTGTGTGTGTGTGTGTGTGTGTGTGTGTGTGTGTGTGTGTCCAGTTCTCTGCCTCAGTCACTCTCTCATTATCCTGACAGCTTTCTATTTCCACTGTAATGTAACTGCATTATGCCTCTAGAACTGCCTCTGGTTTTGTTTTTAACTTAGGCAAAGAAAAACTCTATGCATGGGAACTTGCTTTTCTTCATGAAAAGCTCTAGAGCAACAACACAATAACTTCCAAAACTGTGCTAGCCTTGATTGATATTCTGCTTGAGGCAATCTCTAGCATGAGGATAAAAATAAATAACGATGTTTAGAAGTATGTTCTGGAGAGCTTTTATGCTCTGAGATGAAACAAAATGGAAGTGGGTCTCCCTTATTTTGCCAATAGACACCCAAAGCTTCCAACAGGCATAAAAGTCCTTCTAAATGAGAAAACAGTAGTGCCTTTTGTTTTAAAGCTGAGGCAGCTTAGCTACTGTAGAAGGTGTTTATGGTTTATTGCTCAATATTTGCATTTGCGGCAACCAGAACCATTCAGGTCAGTCGCATCTGAGTCAGAGAAGTAATTGTTTCTGTCATAATCTCATCCCTTAGCTGTTCAAAATCTTTCCTTTTCTTTTACTTCTCCATTCTTCACAAACTTGCTTGTTTTTTGAAACATGTATGGCAATGTGGGTGCACCTCAGTTTCTGTATTTCTGCAAAATTCCCCAGATTTAAATTCTGTCTTCCTGTATCTGGTTACTTTCTTTAGAAATAATGGTGTCAGGAACTTGTATTTCCCCATCCCTTCCCCACACACAAATTCTATCTAAATAGAAAGTACTACCACTGTGTCATCAGAGTCTGTGCATGTTTGCACTTGGGTGCCGTATCTGGTCTGTACTTAGCATGCAGATGAGTTCTAACGGTTATATCCTCATGTAAATGACAGGCGAGCTTTTCAACCTCTGGGAGGAGGGCAGGGATACATGTGGATGATTTGTTGAATATTTGCACTTTTTTTTTTTTATATTTGGCTGATAGCATGATTCTTTAAAAACATAAAATCCAGGTGATAGCCACTGCCACAGGAATGTGTGGAGTCTGCAGGTGAGTTGGGTGCTTTTGGGCCAGTATGGCCATAGAGCTCTGTAGCAGAATAGTATTATTTTGGTCCTACTGTGAAAGAAATACTGTAAACAGAGGTAATGTGAAAGAGAAATGGATGTTTATTATAAAAAAAAATATATTCTCATTTGTATGTCAGAGGATCCATTTCTCCTCTCCCTGAAGTGTATAAGGGGGATAAACCCTCCATGTTTTAAAACACAAACCAGACATAAACTCCCTGGGATGTGGAAGAAATAGCTCAGGGAGACGGGTTGTTCTGTTGTTTAGGTATTTTTCTGTACCTTCCACTGAAGCATCTGGGACTGGCACTTGTCAGAGACAATACCAGGCCAATCAGGCCAACAGGTCTGATCTCTTCTGGAAGCTCTTCCGTTGGATTTAAATGCTCTTCATTAACAGCAAAGAACAAATGGAAAGAAAAACGAATTCTATCTTATGCTCACTTCTGAATATGCATTCAGCTTTTAGATGCTTATTTTGAAGCTTATCAGCATGCTCTTGATGCAGAAGAAAGATTTGCTTTGGCCCAAGCTATAATTGACATAATGTATAAACGCCCACGGTTTGATCTCCGACTTGGCTATTTTGTCAGCACCTACAAAGATGAATGCATCTGCCTCAGGCTTCACCTGCAGCTGGTGAGGGGTATAGTCAACCAGCATGTAAGTAGGTAATATTTATAATGTATCCTCTGGGAGCACAGGAGGGTGGAATTGATGCTAGATTTGATAACTTCCGTTTACTAGAAACCTTCAGATGTGCCTTATATAGGTTTGGGATATTTGTATTAGTTAGGCTGTCACTTAAGTTTGTCAGTATCAGGCTAACTTGGAAAGCTGGCTGGGGCTTCATAAATGTTAATGCCTTCAAGAGCAGAAAGCTGAGATTTTCTTTCAGTCACAAAGCAAATGGTGGGAAACTTGTAGGGCTTTATATAACATGTAAAATGTTAAATCGGTTTCAATTTGATACAATCCTGCACAATTGAAAATTCAGTATAATTGGAATCTGAATGAGTCAGTTCAACTGCATAACTGCTGAAAATGATGAGGAGTCATCAACTTTAAGATGTCTAAATTAGTCCTGAAATGACTGGGTCCTAATTTCAGGGGTGCAGCTGAAGGCTTTAGACATTCTCTGGGAAGTAAGGAAACAAGCATTAATAAGGTGCAGAAAGCTGGATGCAATTGGTTGCTATAGTTAATGAGCATTGCGTACACTGAGTTTAGGTAAGGGCATATTCCATTTAAGTTTATAAACTAAAAAAAGTCTCAGGGCTACTCACTTAAATGGAGTATGTTATAGCCATGAAGAGCAAGCAGAAGTTCTGTGAGATTAAACCACAACACTGAAAAGCTTAAACTCTGCCATCTGCTTTGAGCTTTGCCATGCACTGCCTGTATGTCTTGGCACCAATCACTCCTTTCTCTCAGCTTCAGTTTCCTAATCTGCAGCTGAAAAGTTTGTTGACTGTTTGTGGAGTGCTTTGTGGTCGCCACGTGGCTGAGCCTATTTTAAGGACATGGCACTGCTATTTCTAGCATTTTTGGGCACAATAAAAGAAAATGCATCATCAACATCCTGCTCTAGTAGAACTAAATGAATAGAACAGAAGATTTAATGAAGAGTTGCGGAGTCTTCATCCCTGGAAGTTTCAAGAGCAGGTTAAATGAACACTTGGCTGAGGTGATTTAGACAGGGGTGAATCCTGCCTTGATCAGGGGGCTGGATTAGATGACCTCCATGAGGTGCTTTCCAGCCTTATATTTCTTTGATTTTATACTAGGTCTAATTTGGTCTTGGTACTTATGTATGTAAATAATCTAAACTGAATGCAGCTTGCATTTAAGTAAATAATATTTGCATGCAAAGAATATTTTTTCCTTAAGTTTCTTTAGGTCTATTTTGAATGTGTCCTGCTACTGTTGCTTATTGATGATTTTCAGATTGACTCCCAGCGGGAATATGTTTACAAAATTTGGCGAGAAGGTCAGAAAGGTGGCATCAGTGAATTTGGACTCCCCCCTAACATAATTGCTAAGCAACTTATCTCTCTTAACAGCCATTTGTGAGTAATTTTATAGGGTCAGTTGTCTTGAAATTAAATGTTCTGTTCTAGCTTCTGTTAAGTATTTTTATTTATCAATAAAATCTCTCTTCATCCCCCCCCGCCCCCGAGAAGCCTGGCTTCCAAGGTGATGGATCCTAAATAGTAGCTGCCTTAGGAAAGGTGTTATAACAAAAAATGGGTTCTCAGGAAATATGCAGTTTAACACACCCTGTGAGCTACAGGGATGTGTGGTGGTGGTAGAGCAGTCAAAGCAGCTCTAGAAGCATGAGGTAAAGCCTTACTTCAGACTTGTGCTGAAGGTCCCTCCTCCATTAGTTGTTCCCATTTACAGCTGGGTCCTAATCATTTAAGCTGGGGAGTAAATGGTGGCTCGATGTGATAATGGCCACATCATTCCCTTCTGTGTGGCTGGCTATAGAAACTGGCATGCCTTAAGCCAGTGATTCTAAACCAGGATGCAAGGGCACCTGGGGTGCTGCCAGAGCCTGCAAGGTATAAGGAGATAAGCAGATAAACTAAGCATATAAGCCAGATGTCCCCCCCGACACCCCCAGCTACTGCATAGCCCTTCTGTAAGAAGGTAAGCCCTGAAATATATAATTAATGTTTGAAATGGGGTGCCATTCAGTTCATGAAAGTTATGGAGGAGTGTCTTGAACCCAATAATAGGTGTCTCATGTTCAAAAAGTTTGAGAATCACCGTCTTAACCACGCTACCCTGGTGGGCTGTTAGGTTCTGATAGAAATTTAACTCTGATTTACCAGAAATTTAACCAACCAAGACAAGGTACTCCTGTTAGTGAATTTAGTTTGTTCATTTTACACCCTCTAGGAAAATTAATGTTTCCAGTTGTAAGGGCTATGTAATGCCTTTCTAATTTTAGGATCACTATTTGCATTAATCTGTAGGTTTAGTATTGTTCTAGCTGTACTATGGTATTTTTACAATCATTGTCTCTAGTTTAAGCATGATGAGTGTGAACATAGTAGTAATTTGATTTTGAGCAGGCAGATGAACTGGGGCAGCTAACACGTGAGAAGTTTTATTCTTTACCTTCTTTGCCAGATAAAAGTAGTAGTTACATTCCTATGTAATAACCAGGGATCCTGGTTTTCCCTGATTTAAAAAAAAAAAATCACAAATTCTGATTAAAAAATCATAAATTCTCTAATAAAATCCCCAAAATCTGTGATTTTTAAAATAAAATTAAAGCCCCCCCATAGCTATCCCTGCTTTTTCTGGTGCCCCTCACTCCCCACCCACAGCCCCTTGGCCCTACTCGTGCCTCTCACTCCTCCCCTCCACAGCCCTCACAGCCTTGCTGGTGCCCTTTGCCCCCTGATCCATAGTCCCTGTTCCCCAGGCCCCTAGCTGCTAGGGCTATGGACCCAGGTCCACAGCTTCCTGCCCCTGCTCCCCCTGCTGCGGGCTTGGCTGGGGGGGAGGGGGGGACTCCCTGGCACTGCATGCACTCCTGGGGGGCAGGAGGGACCTGTGCCCCCCCAGATCTGTACACAGGGCAGGCTGTGGGCTTGGGCTTCCACCCTGCTTCCCTCCCCCAGGGCCTCTGCAGCCCAGCAGGTGTGACCCGGCAAGGCAGGAAACAACAGAACTGCACAGAGTAGCTGCTCACTGCTGTGAGCTCTGCACTGCCCTAGCAATGCACCTGTTGCACTCAGGGCTGCATTGAGAGCAGCGGCATGGGATTGCACCCCTCAGAGCAGTGGCACATGCAGGGGACACATTGCCAAAGCAGCATGAAACCTGCAGTGACAAGAAGATCCTTGCTCAGCTCCACTATTCCCTGCTGTGCCGGGTTCTGCCTGCTGGGCTGTGGAGACCCCAAGGTCGGAAGCAGGTTGGGAGCCTGAGCATGCAGCCTGTGCCTGGCCCACACACACATCTGGGGGGCAAGGGTCCCCCTGCCCTTGAGAGTGTGTGAGGCAGCAGGGAGCCAGCTGTCCCCCTCCCCCAGATGAGCCACCCGCGGCCCCATCCTGCTTCCTGCTGGGGCCCTGAAGCCATGCATTGTGGCCCTGGGCCCCAAGCCCCATGCACCGTCCGGCTGGCCAGCAGCCCCAGCTCTGCCCAGATCCTTCTCTCCCTCCCTACAGGGGCCTCAATTCCCCTCTCCCCCTCCTCCACCCACTTACCTGCAGGAGTTGCTCTCCGGGCTGCCTGGGGCCATGTGCACGTAGATGCACATGGCGCACCTTGCCTGATTGCCCTCCTCTCGCTCTCTCCCAGCTCCCTGCAGGCTGGAACTCTGTCAGCCTGCAGGGAGCTCATTGCAAAACAGCAAAATCCATGGGTTTCTCTGGTAAAACAAGAAATCTGTGTTTGCCACTGGTAAAAAGTAAAATCTGTGGTGTACTCTGTTTTTCCATGGGAAATGGGAAACCCAGATCCCTGGTAATAACTCTCTTACATGCAGATGAGCTGCTTTGTTTCTGATCATGGAAGTGTGCAGCTGGTTAAAGTTGTTGTATTTATTCTTGCATATTGACCAGTTGCACTGTTTCCTTACACATACCACTTTTATTCCAGATTTATTCCAGAACTATTATTGTAGGAGGTTTTTTTTGTTTGTTTTTCCTTTGGAGGTAATAAGGAAGACGGGGTTGAGTGGTGCTTGTTATGATGATTTGTATACCAAATATATGTAAGAATATAAAAGTTTGTTGTGACAATGTATGCAAAATGGGAGGGTTTGGGATAATATGCTCTCAGAAAAAAATCATTTTAATTTCTCCTTTTTTTTTTTTTTTTTTTT